TCCACCCGAGAAATCAGAAGAGAAAGAAAAATTCCGCTCCGCGCGCAAAATTCCGCCTAGTGAAAAACAGGCTGAAGGCCGTTTTCCACTAGGCGGAATTTTCCGCGCGGAGTGCAATTTCTCTTTGTCTTTTCTAATCAGTTCCACCCGAGAAATCATAAGACAAAGAAAAATTCCGCTCCGCGCGGAAAATTCCGCCTAGTGGAGAACGGCCTTAAGCCTGTTTTTCACTAGGCGGAATTTTGCGCGCGGAGCGGAATTTTTCTTTGTCTTCTGATTTCTCGGGTGGAACTAATTAGAAAAGACAAAGAAAAATTCCGCTCCGCGCGCAAAATTTCGCCTAGTGGAAAACAGGCTTTAGTACAACACTACTATATCTGCCCCACATTCCCTTACAAATTATAATTGTGTTATTCGAAACAGCGTGCATGGGGGAGACACATGAAATAGACTATGATTTAGAAACCCGTAAACAAACCGAGAAAGACCCAGCGATAGAGTGTCATTGCGGTAAAAAATGCAAAGGATTACGTGAATTACGAGCGCATCGACGACTTTGCCAATTTGGTGCCATTTCGGACTTGAATTCAATATTTGATTTCGAGCCTATTTTGAATACATCATGGAACGAATCAACATTGCTTGAAAACAATGACTATTTTAAACACTCAAAAGTTAGATAGGAATAATGACATGCCCCAGAAGATTGATGTAAAAGTAGGGATTAAATTACCGAAAACAATAGAGGAATGGAATGCGGCAAATGAATACTTTAAAGCTACAATTTATATGAGTGCATAAATAACTGATTTAAATAGGGAAGTGGCCCTACTTCAGGAAAGTATTTACAATTACTTCCGTGATGTAGCTGATAGGTCAGATGTCAGTAACACTAATGCTGAAACTCTATCCTTGTTTCAAATTAAATATAACCGCTTATCAAGAAGGCAGCTGAAATGCCACCTTAATGAACTCAAGCGTTTACAATGTGATACGTTGACGAGTGAAATTCAGTACGTGAGTAAGCTGCTGCGGCTGAAATATAGCAAAAGAACACATGCCTTACTCCCGGAAAAATCCCATGATATCCGTATTCAAGAAAATATTTGGGCATATTGTAAAGAAATTTTCGAAGATGGAGATATTGTATTACCAGACTTTGACGAGAAAACATGCTATAATTTCTTCAGTTCGTGGCTAAAACCAACATATTCTAACCAAACCTTTGATATTCCTATTTGGATGAAAAAGCTTGACCAGCCTAAGTATTCTTTTGATATAATAGCTCCCACGTATTCAGAAATTTCAAGAATCATCAGAAAAATTAAGTCGGGATCATCGGCATGTCCTTTTGACCAAATCAGTATCTTAGTGTTGAAAAATTGCCCAATACTACGAACTGCCCTTCACCGAATTATGTCACCTTGCTGGGACAGGGGATTGCTACTAAGTCATGGAAACAAGCCTTTACAATACTCATCCAAAAGAAGGATAATGCAAAGCTTCCATCCAATCTTCGCCCAATAACCTTACAACCAGTCTTTGCAAAGGCGACATCTATAATACGAAACCGAATATATTCGTATTTGGTACAGAACGAGTATATAGAAACGAATATATACAGAAAGGGTTTTGGAAGGGAATTTCGGGCACAATTGAGCATAACGAACTACTAAGTCACATTATCAACCATGTCAGAAAAAATCAGCGACATCTGGTTATTACCTTACTTGATCTGAAAAATGCCTTCGGAGAAGTACACCACATGTACAATCTATTGCAAACTATCCTCTCGTACCACCACATTCCTAGTGAAATATCAGGTACGTTTGATCCGAAATATATACGAAGACTATACAGTATCGATAGGAACTAAAGAGTTTGTAACAAGTCCTATGAAAGTTGGTAAAGGAGTGATACAAGGGGACTGTCTTTCGCCACTGCTTTTTAACATGTGTATCATGATATTCTCTTATTAAGTGTATAGAGGATGAACGAACTCGGGCACTGGGATATCACTACTGTAACACTTTGAAACCCAGACACCACAAGAAAATCAAATGATGTTGAATGCTCTTTCAAAATGGTGCAAATTAAGATGGATAAGTGCAAAACTTTTGGCATCAAACACAATGGAAGAAGGTCGACTCAATATAAACCATACTTGAAGGTTAACAACGAGATGATTCCACCAGTCAAAATCGATGGATCTTTCAGGTATTTGGGTAAAATGTTCAGTTGTACAATGGGAACTGATGAAATCCGAAATGAGCTGGAGGAAGAGCTGACCAGTTATTTGGATAAAGTAGACAAACTTCCGATCCACCCAAAGAATAAACTGCTGATTATCAACAAATTTGTGTACAATAAGCTAAGGTGGCGGTTATCAGTATATCATTTATCTGAATCCTGGGCTACAAAAAGCCTAGATGGTAAAGTAATCCATTATGTAAAACGATGGTTACCTAAAGTTATCTGTTAGCAAATTTGGATTGGGATTCCAATTGCCCTCGGACGTGTTAAAGTAATGTATAAGCTCAGCATCTCAACAAGGAAATTCAAGACCTTTTCCATTTAACATCTGGAAACTATATACGCACTACAGGTGGGAAATTTGTCTGAGCATGCGCGAGTAAAATGAGTCACTCAGTTGTGTGGAATGCACGCAACGCGTGTTTACAAAAAAGCACAATCGTGTAAATATTGCAAAATGTTTGTACAAAATAAATGACTGTTTTATGTTGAAAGAGTGGACATGATCTAAATTAATCATACAGAACTTTTTAGTGACGTTC